AAGGAAATGGAGTAGATTTCTTTATGCTGCGCACCCACATTTTTGATCAGTTGGCTGAAATTTTTGCCAGTTTCTTGTTACTATTGGTCTTTTTGGTTATACGGAGTTGGTACTTATTATTATGACTGTTTTATTAGTTCAACCGAAGGCGTAACCGTTCCGGAAAACATTCCTGAAACGAAATTGCCGGAAAATCTTACCCGATTATATGCTGTGTTGCCAATTTCAGTATTGGGCCATGTATGCTTAGTTCAAAATACAATTCCCAATATTTTCTATTTTCATCGTCTGGCACCCTGGGCAGAAGTGGCATTTGCCTTTTGTTTGTATAGACTGCGACTAAGTTGGCAGTAACTCGGCTTTTCCTAAGCGGTACAATATATATATGTGATATGGTCTGCATCATGATAACGAAAACATTTTTTGAAGATATTTTGTCTGACGTAGTCGACAGCTTTACTGGAAACCAATATTTTGATTTCACCTCCGGGTAGCGAACGCGATATCAGGTGTTCGCTGCGAGGTTATAAGAATTGCTGCGTTATCCTGTCCAAGTTTGTCAATAAAGTTGTCATCTTCGGAATGTTAATTTATCTTAAGCCGTTGATGTTTGATTGATAGGCATGCTAAATTTCAGCGTTTCGGCTTTTCGCTGGCGACACCAACGTTATGTTCACGTAACCCTAAAATAGATAATTCTTGATTTTAATAAAAATGATTAATTTTGTCTACCGTTCCAAGTGCTGGAATTATCTTTTTCGAGTCTGTGGTGTACCTACGCATGTTGGTGAATAAAGCCTGTAATTTTAGCATAATTTTGTGTGAGCGCGAGCTAAAGGCTTTACAATTTTACATAACTCTGGTGATTACTGGAAACCACAGAACACAATAATGCAGCTTATAGCAACACCACCTTGGTCTATATCAGAGTAAATATCAACCGCACATTTAATTCGGTTTTGTAATAAATTTGCGAGCTGAGTTCACGAAATAATATTCCTATTGATAAGGAGTCAACGCGGTGCGCGTGCTTGCTTGGCGAATTCTCGAGATTTTCCAGTCGACTAACCACCTGGTGTTTTATGCACAGCCTGAATGCTGTAAAAACATGGCGATCTCAGAATATATGTTCTCAAATACGCTCCAAAACTAACGTATATATCTCCTTCATGGCCAGTGTGACACGCTAATTGAGGACGATAGGTTAGACATCAGCAAGAATTGACAGGTAATCTTGTATTGTTTCGGGTTTGAGTTTTTGAGTGCTACTTGGCGCTTAAGCTTTACCACGGACAACCGACGAGCAGAGCAAATATGGCAATAAAACTACGTTATCGCAAAGATTTTATGTATCTAGCGGAGCACAATTTTCGTTAGTATAACGAACAAAAACTGTTTTTTTTTTTCGAGACTGCGATTAATCAGTTTACTACTCCAATCACCCATTTCGACCACAGTCATCTCAAGATTATCCCGGAGTTTTCAAATTGCCGAAGTGGATCTATTTCGACCCCCAGATAGAAGCAACCATTGAACCGTGGTAGCGAGAATTGATCTCGTTCATTATCCCCAATAAGCTAGGCTCTGATAGCTTAACTGTAACAGACGTGCGTTGTTCCCGAGGGGAGTAATTCGATTCTACACCGCGTGATGTTTTAGTATCGTTTTCAAGTCATAGATATGTAAGACTATTTTCCTCTGGAATGCATTGACCTAGTAAGATGCGGAGGTTGAAGACGTTCACAAATCACTTCCCCAATATATTAATGATTATTGGGAGTTCATGACACATTTGGGAGGCATTAAAAGTGAATTTGGCTTTCGCCCTATCTTTAAAAAAGTATTAAAATTTACGCGGTTGTATCGCATTTGTCATTTGCTTCGTACATCCACAATTTATATTTCGCTGATTTACTCGATCGTACATTTCCTTTGCTTGGAGCAAACATGGTTATTTTTTCGCTTCGGACGCTGTTTGGGTTGTTGTAATTTGATCAATTCTACACTATTCCCATATCTGTGGCAGCCTTAGCCAGTCTAATTAAATTGTCGACATCTGGCGAAGTTCTAAGCGAGAACGAATCGATTAAATTGACGAGAGATGTGACCCAGCGTATCACTCCTATGTAATGAGATTAATGTTTTCCCACTCACGAGTTCTCCAAGATAAAATTTGGATAGATATTTTGTATTTGACTGTTATCGAGATCTGAACTGGAATTCATCGAAATATCGGTCATATATAATATCATTAACATGGATGTAAATATTTGTTCCTCGATTACGCAATCGCATAAATTAAACGCGGAGATATATAGGCCAATGAAATGAGTTGACAACGAACCTAAAAATATGTGCCGTGGTTAAACCATATATTTATATATACAACTAATTTCTAATAAATGACAAATTTAGATAAATCACAAAGTTTCGAATTTTTCCAGTCAATATTTACGGCTCAGCTTTTATACCAATTGAAGCTTGGCAAGTTGGCCTAATATACCATTGGTTTTTATATACCGGAATACGTATCACGGGTACACCCAAATCAAAATATTTTCGAAGACTGAAATAAATATGACGAAATTCGTAACTTTGCTCTTGCGCTGCTATGGTTGACCGACGAAGTCGAATTCCTCATCCACCAAAAACAAATATCGACAAAGCGGTATTGCCGAACGCTTTCCCAAAGCCTTACATGAGTGAGAAGGCGAATTGCTTAACGCTATCAAGCAGTCGAAGAAGTTTGCTTGACCGCATGATGTATAAAACCATGGAATAATACACATATCAGCATGAGACACTACAACAAAATTCAGCACTATCCTGTTTTGACCCAATTCTGGTTGGTTTTCTTTTACTCTGTTAGGATAAGTAATCTCATATAAGATTAGAGAAAAACAGAGCAATAAATTATTGGCGGTGTAATTATGGGCGGTACCCAAAAGGGCAACATACCAAATGCATGTTGATGATCACGATTGGCACACATGGAGACGCGTGGGTGCAAAACAACATCTTGGTGACTAATACGCGATATTGTCGGCGTCATCGCCTGGTGGGTGTTTGATCGTTTGGTCATCCAAGCAACAATATATTTTTGTTTGTTCATCGTGTCTTACTCATACATTGTGTTACGGTCTTATATCGATGACCACTTACTATTCCACGAATTATTAAAGTGGCGATACTTCGCAAAAGAGCCAGATTACCGCAGATCGTGTCATCATCATATTCAGAAAAAGTCGCCACTGAGAATTTTCGACTGAATCATGTGTGAATTACAGTTATCAAAAGTGACTTTGGCCACAGAAATTCTTTTCGTGGTCCTAGGCTGTTTTTGCTAAAGAGTATTCAATCACGCAATAACCTATTTACCGAATCGAAGTTTTTGCTGACTCGAATTCTCAGAAAAGTTTCGTTTTCGAAAATATTCAAACGATCAAATTTCAAAATTCTAACTATTCCACTTATCCACGATGAAATCACTTCAATGGAAGAGCGTCGTATTTTTAACCCAATATACACACTCATGACTCCATAAAAAGTACGTTTGTCATTTTTTCATACCACTATATTTAGAACCGTGGCGCGAATGGAAATTTATACCATGCCCAAAAAACTACATCGACTTTCAATTTTTTTTTGATTGGACTCTTCATATGAATATTTTGAGAAAGATGAAAATATTTAAATTCAGAATTCATTTCAATCTCTCATATATAATCCGAGTGGCGGCCAAATAATTTGATATTACAATATAGCTAACCACAGCATCCCAAGCTACATCGACAAAAATTAAAATATTGATAATAAAAGGTTATTTATCATTCAAAATAAAAACAAGTTCAGGTTCTGTGATACTGCATCATATTCGCGCCCGATAAATATTGATTTTAAAAGGTTTGAACTCGGCACTTATTGTTTACCCTTCCGTCAACCCCGTTTCCTTTACGCAAACCAGCACTTGCTTGCTAAGCAAACACTTTTGCAACGCGCAAGGCATCGTAAATAACTTTCTGGTTAAATCTTCCATGTCGAATGTGTACTTTGGATATCATTATACGAACGCCAAGGGCTTATTTTTCTGCAAAATGTTATTGCGAAAATAGCTGTTTTGTAGTTTTAAGTTGCAACGTGGCGTGTCAGAAATTTTGATACGCGTGATATATAGCGTTTTCATGAATGTGTCCTGTATGTACAGCATATGTTAAGAATAATTTGTGCTTTCAGCTAATTTATGAACATTTACATTTTATACATGCAGAAAAGAAAAGGTAATATTTATCTCAGGGTATAAGAAAGCCGATAAGACGATTTCATTATAGGGCGAACCACGTCCTTCGGTTTGGCTACCAGTCCATGTTGGTTATGGCAATAAATTGGGAATTAATCGTTGCAGAGGCATAAAATCCTGACCGACAAGCGGATGTAAGAACAATCGAACCAAATTTGTAAGATCTATAGATCTTGAGGACCAAAGATGTGCAACGTTTGCTTCCGATTAACCAATTAACTTTGAACTGAGATAAATTTTCATTCGACATTAAAAGTCGAATATTTTGTGCCTTATAGGCCACCTGTACCAGGTCGCAATGCTTTTTTTTCAAAGCATAAGAATGGGTCTGCACAATAAGTAACGTCTATTTGCACTCGTTTGCTTTCTCTCTCTCTCTCTTACACAGTTCTCTCTAACAATTTATGTCACCAAGTGTTGAGAGAGAACCCACACGGCACTAATGGAGTGATTTTTGATTGCGCATGAAAAGTCTGGGAAAAGTGATAGAGTGACATATTTTCATAACATACGTCCAAATGTAAATTTACAATAAACTGAAATTACAAAATGACCTAACATAAGTGGGAAATTTTAATGAAAAATCATATCAATGTTATTATTATTCATAAAATAGATAATGACTTATTTGATACCATTGGCATCAATGTCCTCCCATAATATAATAATAATAATAATAAATCGTTACTGCATGACAACAAACCTCAATACTAAGTGCAATTTTATTAAAAATAATGATATACATATATACAATTATCTGCAACAATAGAAAAAATTTATGATGATGTGCTTCACAATTGAGCAGTGCATATTTTATGGCTTTCAAGATTTAAATGACAAACAAAAGTGCATGGTGAAAATACAAGACAATATTTTTAACAATTATTTGAAGATTTTTCACTAGTGCAATGCAGCGTCAAATAAAAAGCGATTACCAACGATAAACAACGCTAAAGAGAGATTTCGATGGTCATGAACTGATAGAGAAGTCGGGTGTCGGAGGTTGGCTCTTCTTTTGGGTTGGGTTCGGTATATGCTCGAAAGCAATCATAGCGTTACAAAAACTCATAAGATCCGAGCATCATTCAATCAGGAAATTCACATGATTGCTGTGACGTGTGTTAAATTTTTTTTGCTAGTGCTCAAAACCTTCCATATGTGCTACTAAATTTTTTTTATTTATCTCAGCCACGCAGAGGACTTGCTACTATTTTCTGGTGAATGTCCAAAAATAAAGGAACATAAGTTACGAAGTCAAGAAAAGATAGTTTTCCTTCGTCTCTCGTAAGCTTCTTCAGAACCTGAAATTGAGACCAGCAAATTTAAAAAATAAAATGTAATAAGGTTATTGAAAGCTTTTACAGATAGTTATATATAAAGCAGACAATGTCGAGTTGGAATGATTATAGTCGTTTGAAGTTGAACTTATTGAACCAAAGACCAAGTGTTTACGACTAAGTGGCCATGAAGTGTCTGTAAAAATAATAGACGAACGTGAACTCTAAAGAACATAATATAAAGAGTACGTTTCTGGTATTTTGTGTCGTTTGTGGGCATCACTCTAAAGATTGGCAACACAGATTTTCACAATGGATTTTCGAAATCTCGTATGCGAGTAAACTAACTTGGCATTTTTTTTACTTTCTATGGGGCGTTTCCATTCCTCCGCCCTGTACAAGGCTTTGCAAAAGCATTGAAGGCTGAGGATTTTTGCGGTTTGCATTGCCTACTCAACTTCCCACAGTCGGTGGAAAGTGTTTGGCATTAGGGTTCAGCCTAACATAATTGGCTTGAGATACCAACATAGGTGCAACGACTTGCCCGATAGACTACACCATATGATAGTGATTATAAATTAACTGTTATGGAACACCAAGTGGGACTTTGGGTCGTCTTGTTATTATGTTGTAGGTATGAAAATAATTCAACTTCACTCTCCAACTACTGAATGCATTTGGCATTGGAATTTTCAGAGGTGAAAGCTTGTTGTTGTGGCTAGAAAGCTATTACTTTTATTTATTTCAAAATTATCTGTGGATACTCCTTTGTTCTGGCTTTCGTGTCCATATGTTTTGAGCATTGCTCTCTTGTTTTCATAATCAACCCATTTGGTTCAGACGTCAAAAAGGCATCGAACGAAGAAAAACTTAAATATTATTCAACGTTATATTAATCATCAGTTACCTGGTGATATTGAGCAGACGAGAAGCTGCTGGAACGCAATTCTGATTGTAAATTATCCAGACTTGTGCCAAGTAGGAAGCCGTAAATTTCCTGACGAAAACAAGAAAGGGTGATGATGACATAAGCAAGCCTAAAGTCAAAGCTTGTGTATATAGTAATATGTTCAATCAAGCATGGGTTATATGTATTATATGAGAAAGTGCCCTTTGTCAAACATGGAACAAAGAGGGACCGCGCCTCGTCGGCGCGATCCGTCTATGTTCATGTTTGACTGTTCACAAAACGTTTGCTAATTTAGTCTAAATTACCTTTGTTGTTCTTCAGACAATATTGATAAATAATTATAATACAAACAAAGATACTTGCCTTGCATTTATCCATCTTAACATTGAGAGCCCTGGCGTCTCTGGTCTTCACCAATCTCTTTACCAAAGGCTGGATTGACACTGCGCTTTCACTGAGAGCCGCCAGGATACAAAACACTCGGAAATTAACCTCTTCACTATGGCGCGGGAAGTCTAAAGCCTGAAAAAGAATCGAAAATGTTTAGAGATTGACTCTTTTACAGAATTTAATTACAACACAACGGTCAATTGAATGACTAGGGGATAATAGAATAAATAAAAGGTTGTTTTAATAATTAGACACACACTCGTCAAGATACCCTCGGCCTCGATAACCCCCCCAAAAATAATAAAAATCGAAAATTTGTATGTTGAGCTAGAAATTTCGCATTGAAAAAATAGCTATATTCTGTAATTCACGTAACCACTTATTTGTTCATATATTATTTCTCCGACCACATCTACACATCTTGGCTATTCTGATATCATCACAGATTGATATTGTATACAGGTTACAGGGCTCCAGATTTCTGATATTGATGCTCTTTAATCGGCTCAAAATTTTCTATTTTTGCTATGTTGAACAATGGAAGACGAAAATATTTCGACATTTTGTAATGTAAAAAATCTTCAATTCAATGTATGGGGCGTTTCGAAATAGTTAAATTTATGCCTCTATGATCTCTTTTCAGCCAGGAACCGCTGAATATCAACAGGTAATGTTTGCGTGTGTGACACAATCAATGATAAAATAAACCCATTTTCGTCTCAAGTTTGAGCAGAGTTATTAATATTGTGTGCACCGTGGTGAAAAAGATTACAATACTCTACAATTCTCATTTTAAACTATTCAACAAACAATTGGTAATGTTTGTCTATACTGTGTTAGTCTTCCTTCGTGGCCAATGTCAATTTATTTAAGCATACTGTTGAAAAACATAAGTAAATTTAACCAACTTTCTCAATTACTGAATTTGATTCCAATCTAAGGATGGTTCTAATAATGATTTTGCTTAAGCATGAAAAAGAGCATAGGTTTAAAAAATTGATTAGCGTTAAAATTTTGGTTAACGACATCGATATTTTTCAGAGATTAACTATATTGTTATTCCTTGGCGGATTGAACAATTGCTGAGAACAAAGTTCTAGTTTTGAACTCTGTACTCTAGTTTGTTCGTGATTAATACGTGGGTGACGGGATAAACACATATTGAGGGAAAATGTCAATACATGACGATGGCATGGTGAAATTGTGTGCCCAGTATTTTGTAATGTACTGCAGCACAGTAAGAGCCCAAATTTTCAAAAACGCTATCCACTCGAGCACTAAAAATATGGCGCTATGACCTAATGCCCGGATAATTAAAGCGTAATTAGACTAGAGTATGATATTGTGCATGCATCCTGTCCCCAGCATTATTGTCAGCTCATCACTTATCGATCTTGATCGGTAAGCATGTTGATAGGTATTTGTCTGTCTGTCTGTCTGTCTGTCTGTTTGTTAGACATTTTCGTATGTTACACGATATCTCACGAAAGCGAGGTTGAATCTGCTCCAAATATTCATCATATCTCGGACCAGAAGCCTATCGATTGGATGAATTATGTCGTATAATTAGCGAGTTGTTAATTAATTACTATTTTTTTCGATTGTACAGAACATTACTTGAAGTGAAAACGTCATATATACAAACACTAGATTTGAAGTCTTGCCCTGAGATAAACTTAATTTTCCAATCTATCTTAGGATTATTGTAAACCTTTTATCAGTGACATTTCATGGGTCACCGCGACTTAAGAGTCGAATTGAGTGGAAAACAAATGAAATGGCAATTCTTATTTTGTTCTCGAAATTAAATAATTGGGTATTTCTATACGGAAAATGAACGAGAATAATAAACATAGTATCTAATTATAGCCCTAAAGCGATATAGATGTATCGACATAGTCGTCATTTTCCCGGTACATTCCCTGACGCGGGATGGTGACATACCGTATAAAGTTCCCAAAAGAAAACCCGAACTTTGCTTTACATTTTATTCGATGGATATGAAAAGTAAAATACCTCGATAACCCCGTGGTAACGTCACTTTCGCTAAGACAAGAAATTACAAAAAAAAAATAACTTGATCCTCATGGTGACCTTCATTTAAAACTTTATATTATAATGGTTTACCCATGGCACGCTAATTTGCCACGGACAAAACAAAATCAAACGTAGCTATAAGGATGATATTTACTATTTCTCTACCTATCTCAATTCGAAACAATTACTTTTATTTGCGAGTTACTTTTATGTCCCTTTTTTACTACATTGAAAAAATTCCGAAAAAGGCGATAAGCGCAAGTGAACTCACGAACCGTGACCATTATGACGTCTTTCGCTCTCTGTGTGGACAACGACGTATCAAATAACGTGTTCGTCCGCGAGAAGGTAAATAGTTCGATCGTTCGCGTATGAGTCATTCGGTTTGGTCAATAACTGAATAAATAAAAAAAAGGATTTACTGAAATATGCGACATCACGAAAATAGCTGACAAATGGATTCTCAGAATGGAAATAACCCCAAAATAGTGAATTTCAACGATAATTAAAAAAATAACTAAGAATAAAATAATAACATACTGTATTATATTTTAAACATAGGGCGTAAGGAAACCAATATTGTATAACCACTTGTGTAAATGACCATAAACGCTACAGATATAGTGCTTAACAGTCGCTTGAATAAACCACTTCAAGTTAGTAATATAATTGAGTTTAGCCGCGACATATTATGATGTAATAATTGGTAAGATTGTAACAATTAATAGGATAATATATTGGTATTGGCCCACAACTAATTTCCTAATCTGATTCCTCGTATTGTGTTTATTTAGATTCGAGTAAATGGGTTATACTAGGTTATTGCCCCACCCCCAGTATATCCTCCTTACCTAACCTGAGGTAAATCAGATCAAAAAATTGGCTGTGGCGCAATAGCATGATAGCGCCATAACTAGATATGTGACTTCCCATGAGGCACTGCAATGGCAAATAATATGATTTCTATTAGCCCATATCACGTGTCCATGTCTCTGCATATTAACCTAGTATTGTTAACGGGTTGACTATTTCTCTACCTGATCTTGTCTAGTTATCGTTCGAGGTACGATGCTTTGCCATAGGATTAGGTCGTCTTGATGGTTTCCCTATTCCCATAATGAACATGAACTCTCATATCATTTTTTTGTCTACACACATTGTGATTGGCCAAGAATAAAGTTCTAAATTTATGTCTCATATTAGTAAATTTCACAATATTTTCAATACTACGAATGATAAATTATCTTATTTGCCCGACTTGCATTTTCAACAACTCGTGCAATTAAAATACTTTGCGAAGCAATTTTCTTTTCAAGGAAATCCATAAACAACCTCAGCAGGTGGCCGCTGTGAATTCACCACACACATTTAATTATCACATATGATATATATATATATATGTAATACGAAGTTTGAAATTTGTATTTTCTTTTTAATAAATTTTATAGTTTGTAATGAATCACCAGAGCTGAGATTCACACGAAGGAATATTTATGTCAGTGTTTTGCAGGCGCTCGCAAAAACTGTATAGTATATTGAATATTTTTTCTTGGAATTGGTATTAGTATGAATGAAGATGTAGAAACAATATGCATACTCATATTCACAATTTATAATGTTGACTACGCGACATCTTTCAAATGTGGTAGTTTCCACATATGAACCGCGGAACACATTTATTGTGTTATGTCCAGCTTCATATTATTTTGATCTCGGTATTAATTTTGGCATTTATTAAAACCAAATTGAACTGACAGTATCTAAAATGGACGGCACATTGATGAATTCTTGATTGGCACGATTCAGGGAAAATATTCAATATTTCCAATGAATGCATCATTTTTACTTTTTTTCTGAAAATATCTTTTGACTACGCGAAAGTTCCCCGCGCAAGGTCTATTTCCACAAAATACAGTTTCAACTTTAACATTCTTTCAATATGGCAAGTAATTTCGAAATATTGAAACAGAAAAAATTAAAATAGCAAAAAAATTTCCGAAGTTTATTGAAGTGACCCTTAAGCAGCATTGTGTATCGATGACGTATTATGTAAAACGTATTAATTCCAGTCTGTCGGTAAATAGATGATATGAGTTAGTTAGTCTATTGCGCAACATCTGGTATAATCGTATTTACTTCCTGTATTAAGTAAAATGTAATGTTCTATTTTCAGTCACATAATCCTACGAAATTTCTGACGACAGTCATTCAAAAACCACCCGTTGTATGTGATAGCTTTTGAACAAGTGACGGTTTAAAGACATTTGAGAGACATTTTCAAGTAATCGCATTTTCATAACTCAAATTGCCAAAATTAAAATCAATATTGTTGTTTGTCTACAGTTATTAAATAGAGTATAAATGAAAGTAAAACATTTGTGAATGAACATCCATTGAAACTCCATTTAAAGATAACTAAACGACATTAAAATATATTTTCAATATTATACAGTTTTACGTTGAACGTAAGAGGAATGATTAAGTTGTCACTTGTATACAAGTAAAAACATCATTCGGATAAATTTGATAAAAGTATGATAATATTAGTAAACTAAAAGAAATTGGCATGTTTTATTGTATTTATATTTACATATTGTACATGTAATGAACTGATTCTGTGGCTTATCTAAACTCAGACCGAAGTTGCATCTTCAATTTTGGATTTCAAAACTGATAAACCAAAATATCTCCAGTTGCGCATAAATTCTATTTCCCACTCTAATCACCCATGATAAACGTGGAACAGTTGTCAATATATGATAAATATAAATTCAATTCATAGTTTTAAACACAAGTAGAACATTTTCGTTACTCCCGTAGCATGTGTACCAGGTTAGGGTTAGGCCACAATTTTGTTCCGATTTTGCTTATTTTAGTTCTAATACGAGTTCTGGGACTGTCTGTGTTAGCCAAGTGAATACACCCCTGCCCATGGTAATCCGTCACTGTACGTACACAGCTTGATGTAAAGCAGTCGAACAAATTTAGTAATCTTCATATTGCTACACACACTTCTGGATCGCATATTTTCTGGTTGGTATTTTTATAATATTTCTAGTTCACGTGTATATTTATAAACATCCAAATCTGTAATATGGCGAACATTATTCATTGATTCATTGAAATTTTCGAGTCTTTAAAATGGTTTGATTTACTTTCGCTACCTTCACAAAAGTAGCCGATTATGGACTATGGTAGAGAGTGGTAGGTGTCATCAGCAAGTCTATTTACCCCACAAGGAGCGAGAATCATTCTGCATGGGTAAACATGACGTATTTTCAGGTGAAAATATCAGTCAACTGGAAATTCTCGTTTCCTGAACGTTTAACAACATTACGTGACGTAATTGGGGTGTTACATGATATTGGTCACAAATATCTGACCCCATTTGGAATTTGAATTCATGCGCTTACTCAGTGCTATCGTGAGCACAATTATTTTAAAATCATATTCACAGTACTATAAATAATAGTTTCTGTATGTACGGTATATTATATTTGTTTAAATGCCATCAAAGTACGAACATAGTTAAATATTAAATATGCATTGACATTTTCATATTTACATTCACAACTTTCGCTTAGTGGGCAAAATATATATATTATTAAATATATATATTTCTCTAGACCAGTGGTTCTCAACCGTTTATGGTTCGTGGCCCCCTTCCGGCGCCTTTTTGCTCTCGTGGCCTCCCTGTACGTCATTCTAAAAACTAAACGTGTTGGATTGTATGTTTTTACAACCTTTTATGGAATGCAAAAACAAACCACAGACAAAAAAGGCCAAGCTTTTTAGTATACAACCAATGGGTATATTGCGCTTTGGATTGTCTGACGAGGTTCAACACATTGAACACATTCTCTGTCATCTCGAGTTACTTTGGTAGGTGACCAACGTAATTGTCGTTCCATTTTCGTGTTTTAGGCATTATGATATTACATATGGGATATTGCCTCTATAATGCGATAGCGAAAGTTATCTCGCAGTCTAGTGAAACTTCCCGTCTGTAGGTTAGCCTACCAGCAAACTAATTTGTATGGTGGATTCCAAATTCCATTATGATCAAACAATGAACGCACAAGAAAGTGAATACACCCAGTGATCGCAAATAACCTAGTTAGGTATTGAAAATGCGTTGAACGCCAAAACAGAAAATTTGATTTTAGAAGGAAATTATGCCTTATGATCAATTACTAGCCTTGTGTCGTGGCACTCCTGGGACTGCTTCGTGGCCCCCTTGGGGGTCCCCGACCCCCGGTTGAGAACCACTTCACTAGACGTTCAGATTACTTGCGTGTTTTAAAACTACCTGTATGACGAAACAGGACAAACAATGGCCAGGGACCCTTGTGATCAGCGTGCTAGACATGACTATATTTTCATCACAGGTTAAAAATTTGGCGCTCCAGAAGTGTGAGAACCAATATGGAGATAACTAATTTTGTTCGCCCACTTTACGTCAAGTTGTGTAAGAGGACTGAAGCCTACGGGCAGGGGGTATATTCACTTGGCTAACACAGACAGTCCCTGAACTCGTAATAGAACTAAAATAGGAAAAATCGTAATAACGACACACACTACGGGAGTACCAAAAATTTTAGGAAAATCTAGGATGTAATAAATTCGGTTAGCAATGCCTAAGCAAAGAGATTCCGGCCTTTTCAGGTATAATACCTCTTTACGTTTCATTGGATTCTTATGCATGTCCTTATTCGGAATGAAAAAAGTTACACAAGGAAGAAATTTGTTGTTTGCGGGAATATTTCCGGTTTTCGGTTTCGGAATCTGAGTGAATAATAATGAATCATCGAAGTAAATATATCCATCATGAGAATACTGCTGTGGAAACCCACCCACGCAACGTTGTTAGAGCATTGTGACCAATGACCATTCAAGCATCTGTATAGCGGTCTATTGGGATTTCATATAGACATAATACATTTGTTTTAAAATAGTAAAGTTAGCTTGTAGAATTACTATTTATGGAATAAAATTAGAATTCTTTTAAATTGTATAGGACAATGATATGAGAGATATTATCGACCCATTCCAGAAAAGCTCGGAGAAAATCTTGTGACTCGAACCTTTGAAGAAACTTTACATATTTATATCATTTCCCACACAATCTATATTGTCTCAGTAAAGACTAGCCATTGAAAAATGTTTGTAACGTTACAGTTGGTAACACCGATTTCACATAAACCACGCGTTCACCTTGTGCGGACTAATGAGATCATTAGAGCTATATATTTATATGATAAATCATGTAATACGCATGTATATTCTTGCCCTCTGGCGATCTATCCATAATTTTGAAGTGATTTTCTTCTTCTATCAGACAAATTAACATAAATATAATCAGATTAAAAAAACGCAAAATCAATGTTCATCACGTTCACAAAATTATATATAGTGACAATTACCACACTGTCGACAAACAAGAGAACAATGCTCAAATATATGAACGAAGATCAAAACGAAGGTGCATCAAATCTTTTACAGTACCGGTAGTCTGACCATTGAGATGGATGTGTTCCAACAACAACACGTGGCAACAAGAAAAGCTATTCAATTCTCCAGATTTCACAATGCTTGGCGTATAACAAACGTATAATTCAATATACACGAATTACAATATTTGCTAGCGAAAAAAGTGAGCAATGCTCAAATATATGATAACGGAGGTCAAATGTCAAAAAGGGGAGTTAGTATAAATGAGCAAAATTAGGGTGACATATCTGGCCTCGTGGGCATCAGAAATAATTAAAAATAAGAAGTAACGGCTCAACCAGTAACTTCTTACATCATCAAGTACTGAAAATTTGAAATCAAAGATCCAGTAATTGAGGAGAAAAGCCATTTATCATAACAACAACAACCACAAGACCAGCAACAACAACATATTCAGCAAAACGATCAATATGTACTTTCATTTCACAAGTAATTCCATTTCCACGATTTCAAGGACTTAGTGACGTACCGTGGTGGAAAAAATCCGACGAAAGATTAAAACCTAAAAAAATATGGTAGATGGTGTGGTCATGCTATCTAGATACGAGAATTCTAACCCGCGACGCCGTACGCGATGAGGCATCCATTGTTCTATACTTCTTCCAATTGAATCACAGCTTTCAACACCCTTTTCTGAAAACCTCCTATTTTCTCAATATTTTGGATTATATTATGTGAACAATGAGTTTAGTCATCGTTGTATATTTATTCAGTGAATCAATACTATCGGTTCTCCCTGGATGACACTTTTACATAAATACCTTAGCAACTTGTGGTTATAAAGTTGTCACGAAATAAATAAACATACAAAAATTCCACAACTTTTCTGACGATACCAAACTTCCAGCGAGTTACATTACAGGACTTGGAAAAAGTCTGCGTTTCTAGTGTCTAGTCCAACTTCGGCCTAGCCCTATCATCAATTCTATTCGGATCCGAATGTATGATCAGAATTGCTTCAAATAGGACAAAGTGGTAGCTGCATGTGGAATTATTGAATCTAAGTCTGTATCATTTTATACCGGATGACACGATTCTTGAATTATGTCCTTTAATTAATTAGAAGCCTCAATAAAGCAATTTGATGAAAAAAAAAAATCCTAAATAATTTTGGAAAGTTACTAAAAATACATTTTCAGGATATTAGTTGCTTTGATAGCCATTGATGATATTGGCTTCTCATTATAAGGTAGTCGGCCAAAAAAACTTTAATGAGTCTTCGATCTATTACACTTTATCAACGGATTACATTTTTGTTAATATATTAGATTAGTTTTGATAATTCATTTTCAATAGTAATTCCATAGAATTATATTGTGGATCATTCAAATCTCAATGGCTCTTAATAATAGTGGATAGAATAGTGAACTTAATCTAATAATTACAACCATGTTGCATCGTCAAATAGTATCGGAAACTAAGCTTTTAGCGTTTGTGTGATTTACGTTCTTTGCGTCGACTTTCAGAATTAAATTTGGTGGTATTGTTGTATTACAGCAAAAAAAACGAGCTAATACGAAATATTGATAAATTTTGCACATATTTTTAAATGTGTTGAATTTACACATTAAATGTGTTTTCATAGCAATGGTATTGATTTTGCAAATTATGTTTGTATTATCTAACATCTATTAACAGAACATCATTGAATCATGCTCAAACGAAGCAAGTTTAATATTGTACGAAGCCATCTAAACAAACAGTTATCTTTTAATCGATACCTTATAATCACATACAGATAACATAATACCTCGAAAATAACAGCACTATCTGCTCTGGAAATTTCTCCATTGACGTCACGTAATGCTTCTGGTACGTCATCGATAGATAAAACTGGATCGTCTGCTGGATGAAGTGCCTATTATGAAGTAAACAATATAAATGATTGTCTAAGGGTACATACCAACAAAGGATACATAATACAATCCCCTTTTCCTTTCTTTCCATGCGAAAGGTGAATTTTGTTGAAGTAAAACAAATTTACGTTTTATTCGATTAATTATTAATCTATGACAAAAATGTTCTTAAAATTGCAATAGAATGAAAGTTCAATTCTAAAATTATAAAACTAAAAGTACAGTGAAAATAAGGAAAACAGTTGGAAAAAACCATTATAGCAACCGACGTCAGCTTTTGTACTAAAAATGGGCTTTTCAAAATTATGAGGTGGGAATGAAAACCGATGAGACTGTTCAACCATATTTAGATCACGGTTTCATGCTCGACTATCAGCCCAGGTACCGGAATAGCCAACTCGTTGTATCGTTTATGAGAGCTGTAACTGACCAGTGGTTATACTTATTTCATACGATGACGAGGAGTAGTGAATTTAAATAAAAACGATAGACAAATTGTCCCAATACCATAATACATGAATGAAATCCCACGAGCTCCAAACTCGCACTCTTACACCGCCATAGACAATCGTGTTGCTAAATGCTAATGTCAATGCTTAACACTATGCACCAATTTTCTTGTTACAAATCTATAAAAGCACCAAACTAGACTTCACCAGAATAAAAATTTGTAGTTAAATTTTTGTTATCGTGATGTCGGTTGTGGGAAGTTAGCTTAGTCGAAGTTAGCTTTTTTAAACCCAGATTCAAAGTCAAAATTGTCATCAATTCCAAAACGAGTTATTCAATAGTGTGGATCACATCTTTGATTCTACAGCGTCAATCGGTACTATACCTAATCAACAAGAGATACAAAAAATTTTTTGGTACAAGATTAAATTATTAAAATAAATTATGATATTTCGCATTTTTTAACTGGATAGACGTTGCCAACAAAATTTACATCGTCAATTTGTATCGAATCGAGCTCAAGTTTGCAACCTAGAGGATATTGTTTTAAAAAGAGACAAATAATGGATTCATAATGTACATACTTGATAAACCACGCTTTGTTGCCTGATGAAAGTCTCTTTTTTACTTTTTTCGTGTTTTTCATTCCCTCTTTCTCTCTCAGCTTCGAGTTTCTGCTTTTCCAAACGTTCTAAAAAGATTTTCTAGGTAGAGGAAATCTAATATAAAATATATTGAGAAAAAGAAGCCAAGAGGTCACTAATCTATCTTTGACTTCGACAGTATTCGATGATTTCAATTCAATGCGAGGGGATTGTTGGAGAATTTGTTGTTGTAGGGTATGCCGGCCGGTTGTGCATTCCTCCTACCACCTAGTCTATGTATTTGGAACAAATAAAGCCGACAAACTGTACCCATACCTACGTAGCATTTGTAATAAAAAATATGTGGTAAATTTGCAATGTCGTGTTATCAACGCTTTGCATAACGCAATAACCATTGAATAAGTACTTTATGAACATAAAACAATAATATATAGTGTCCTTATATAGTCAACTATAACCTGAGAATCTTATACACAGAAGTGGACAGGCCAAGTTGACTTTTATAATCGTATGGTCGCATCGCTTTTACCAGTTTATACCAAACAACATTGTGTATGTTACTGTATGTTTGTATGTCGCGATTACTATTTTGTGGTTGACTACACAATGAATATCTCTATCTCACTCTTTATTTCTCTTCCTAATACTCTAAGAAGCAATTTTGATGAGCTAGGAAATTCTATTATATCAATTGCCATTTTAACCTAATTAATAAAAAACATTTTTGTTATTTGATTTGTACTCACCTAAAAGTTTCTTTTGTCTTTCTTTCATTCGCTTTAATTTATCTTGCAACGCTAGAAAAGCAGCTGTGTTGTGTTTTACCACTGGATCAATTCCGATTTCTTTACGATGTTTTGTACTAAGTTTATTTAAGACTTGTGCATCATTGAGTTCTGAAAAAAGCAGAAGGTAAAAAGTTTAACTTGACACAGGCATTTACAATATATGAAAGAAGCTATAGACATTATCGTATTTCGCTGAGAGAATATTCCGACGTATGGTATATTAAGGAGCTGCCAAGGATAGGGAGCTGGAGAAAGACAGCTCCGACAATCGTTCATTCGAAACTTTGACTCCTACTCCAGTTCAGCAAATATTCTGACTTACCGCTGGTCTACGAGTTCGGACAATTGCCTCTTACATAGCAGTAACTAGTGTAGCTTTTTAATTGAAGTCTGATTAATACACCAATTCCCTACTCCGTGAATTTTTAGTGCGGACCAAATGTTACTTTGGATAATGGCTAGCAAAATAGTCATTTTCTGACTCCAACTCCATACCCTGCCCTATCCAAGTATACCAGACACAAATAATTCTTTGATGGGAAAAATGATAGGTACTCCTGAACTATGCGCATCAAAATGTCGCATAACCTGAACCCTAACCTGGTACACAACCTTAGTTCAGGTTGTGCACAATCTTGGTGCGCATACTTCAGGAGGTCCAAATGATATATACAGCAGTTAAACTTACCTTCCAAAGGAATTTCCAGTGTTCCACTTTGCGGTGCTCTTATCTCCGGAAGGTGTAATGTTGGTTGTTGCATTTTTTGTCTTGGCGTTCCACTTCTGCTTTCATACCCAATTCTTGCTGACTGGTCATAATCATACTTTTGTTGCGTAATGCTCATTGCAGTTTCGGCGTTCTCCATGATTTCTTTCTCGTTTTGAAAATCTTCGTCTAAGACTGCGTTTCTGCCGAAAACTGATGTTGAAGTTGGGCGTGTTTTGGGCGTTTTCCGTCTACGAGGTGTCGCGAGAGACGGCTGGGTTTTGAAGAGAATCTCTCGAGCTGTTAACGCTTTAGCTCTATCCAAGCATCCTGGGTAAATTGTGAAAGAGAAAATGGATTATTAATTACGTTATTCAGATTGTAATGCCTGCAAAAAAGTGATAGATTTTGAACAAGAGAGCAATACCCAGATATATGGACACGAATACCAAGTGACCAATCGCAGTAGTCAATGCCAATTACGCAGAAATATATTATCTAATTCTAATCATTCAAAAGTTTGAAATCAAATCTCAAAACCTTGGCCAATTTATATCTATATCGGTAAGACCTTACAGTGGGTTTGCCGAGAAGTTGACGGACTAACTTTAGTTGAACAATATACGCAAAAATAGAAAAATTCAGATTGAATAATGAGCTCGAAGAATATTTGAAAATAAAATAACAGTAGCATCCTTTCTGCCATCATCAAATACGAAAAACTTGAAATCGATTGTTCCAACAGAAATCGAACATTTCACAACAACAACAACAATCATACTAACCACCACAACAATAACAACAACAGCAACAGAAGTTTAGCAAAACGATCCATAAGTCGAAGCCATGTTCTGCAATGAAGAACATAGCTAATAACTTACCTTTGGCCACCACGATTTCATGTTCAGTTGTATCGATTTTATCAGCCAGTAATTCAGCCAGAAACATGAGTTTTTTCAATTCAACATGTGCAGGTCCTTCCCTGTAACTTTCCTCTGAAAATAAAAAGACGTATTCAAAAAACTTAAAAAAAAAATCTAATGAATTGGTGACCCGCGATGAAGTATAGGACACGGACCACTATAACTTTCATCTGTTTACGTAAGAAAACACTTTAATCTATCTGTTGGCCCAAGGTATTCACAGTTATAAAATTGGCGACGTTCTCTTTTACCTAATGTAACATCTTCGAAAGAATCTTCGTTGAACAACTCATTGTTCGCTCGTTTTGCTTTCATCGCTCTTTCCCTCAATCTCATCTCTTTTAACATCAGATGTTTGTCGAATATATGACGATATCTGGGAAGGCTTTCCTCTCTGGAAATAAGTGAGCAACAAGTTCAAATGTCATATAAAAATGTTCCAATATGTAATATAAAAGTGTTCCCGTGAATTAAAATGAAACAGTTAGGATGAAATATTGGGGTCCCATAACAGCTTGAAAAATAGGAGAAATAGCTTTCTAACAGCTTCACAAGCCCTTAAAATCGGTCTATTGGTAGCATGAAATGTGATTATTTCACAACAATAACAACACAACAACAACATTTTAACAAAACGATCAATATGTACACTTCGTGTCCAAGAGCATAACTATTTATTCTAAAATTCTTTACTGAAATTCACTTTGATTAAAGTCTATTCATTGTAGCTTTACAATGAATAATCCCATGATTATAGCGCTGTTCTGTATGTTGGTATTACAATGTAGAAATCACAGGCTGAAGCCCTTTTCATTTCATTATTCCATCCAAGCCCACAATCTCACCCACGGCGTGAGAAATTAGGCAAATTATGTTTAATCGAAAAAGTTCAGACATTTATTTACAAATACATTGGACCGATACATCTAACTTATATAAAAGTAGTACTATGTGTAAAATTCTAAACAAAAATATTTCAAATATACTTTATTTTCATAAGGATTAATGTGAAGCAAAATTAGGATATATTTACACTGATTTTTCTCCTGTAGCTATCTGATTTCTCTAAGCAACATTTTACAAATTTGATAATTCACAGTTTTACACGCATTATCAAAGTATTACAAGTAAATGAAAAACAATTACCTTATAATGCAAAATTTTTTCAAAACGTCATCAACAGCACTTCCAGGCGTTTCAGCATCAAGTAACATTTCAGCGTTAGACTTGCCTCTTGTCAAAGGTCTTCGAATAATAAAGATTATTAAATATAAATATATAATGATAGGAGCGGACATGGTTACAGTGTCCGTTTGTCATTTGAATGGCTTCCTCCGTATAGGTCATATGGGGCTACACAACCAATTTTCGTTTTTTTGTGTTCTTTTATTTAATTGCACTGACGCAGACGTTCGGTATTTTATTTGAGCTTTGAGATTTAAGTTTTAAAGTTCATGATACCGAACCTGACACAACTAACATTTTTGAACATTTTTTGTGTGATTGCTACTTCTCAACGGTTTATCGATAAAAGTTTTATTATTAAGAAAAAAAAATATATATCTTGATAAATCGTCTTTATTCCACACAAAAAATACTTCATACACGGAGCTCCAACCATCTGATAATAGAGATTATTAGGTTTCTTATCATTTTCATTTAAAACGTCGTAATTATAACCAAAATGCGTATACTTTGAACAATGCACAAAAATTTATCTTTCCGACGCATTGATAATTCTCTGTCCATTACTTTGAGCCACTTTGAGTTATATAAAAAATAATAATAATTGGATCTTCTCCAATTAGATTCTATATGTTAAATACATCGAAAAAATCAATCTATTCTATCAAAAATCTCCGGTGTGTACATAAAAAATACTTTGCCACATTTCTAGTGTTGTTTTCTTTATTACAACTACTCATATATTTTATCATCCATATTTGATTGATTTTCAATTAGAAAATCAAAAATTTCTTTGCATGTTGTTTTATCAAATTTAAATAAAAAACAAAAACATTTTGATTATATTTATAACCTGGTTTTCATCTTTCCTTTGTTTTTCATATTTTCCAACATTCTTTCTGCATCCTGAGAAAAAAAACAGTTGTAGGTATTTTCTTTTTTATAAATGAAAAAATAATAAATAAAAATGAATGAATGAAGAAAAACGTATTCAAAATATAATAAAGCGCATTTTTTCTAGTTGTTGGTAAAGAAATGACTGAAGTTGATAACATTTGAATGCATGATAAGTTCCCTAAAATATATTTTTTTATTTATTTGCTTTGGACTAGTCTTAACAAACAGCAACTTATACAATTAGTAACATTATCAGTATATCTGAGTGTATGTACGCAGTTCTAAGAACACACCAAAACGAGCAAAAGTACCAAAGTTCCTTGGATATTGCTTATATCTTGTACGTGATTTTCAAAATATGGTGAAAATTGATTACAAGGTTATCAAATTACATATGCACGTTTTTACTCTGAACAGAGCTCTGAATAAGCAGTCGCTTGTTAATGACTACTATATTTTTGTAAAGAATTGATTAATTTCGGTTGTCAACACAATGTCGATTACAACATAACTCCTCACTTCTTTTTTGAGTTTATTTTGTTCTTCAGACATCTGTGTCTCGGGATTATCAATCATCTCGGGGAGAATTGGTATTTTTGAACGCTGAAAATAAAAATCAATATCAATTATTCGATGATATAAATCTAAGTGAAATTGATTGCCTCTACTACCGTTGGGGAAACTCGATTGTCATTGACTTGGCTGAATTCAAGTCATCGATCGCTTTACAACAGTCGATTCCTATTAGCAAAACGATCCGATACCAAAAATATTTTGATATCAAAAATACGAATTATCACTTCGATGTATGTTGTATTGAAATAACTTCTCTAGCTTGATTATAGCCTAGTTCGATTATGAATGACGTTGCTCTAGAACATTTTTTTTTTCAAATTTATATATATATCAGGTAAAATTATGCATCTTCGGATAATGCCTTCACTGGTAATTACAGATGCCTGTGTTTTCATCATGTTACTGGGCAATATATCTGTATTCTCTTGGCTTTTCAGTTATTTTCGCACACATTATCATAAACATGACAACAATGAAAAAATACATACTGTTACACATATAACTGCCTAACGGTATGGATAAATTAAATGACCAACAGGGACCCCATATTTTCAGTAAAATTCCATCCAACTGTTGATTTAACGTAATGTACCGATTGTGCACGAAAATGAAAATTTGAAAATTTAGGATGAAATATTGGGGCTGGAACACTCTGAAATGATGACTAAAACGATACATGGGTTTTCAAAAACAATATAAATATGATATAAAATGAATTAGTACCGATGAACGTGGTGTTGGTTTTCCAAACGCAGATTGATAAATAGGTGATGGAGGCTCGTCGTCATTATTTATATCCGGCAATTTCGGAAGGGGCGGAAGCACATGCTTCGGTGGTTTTCCAACAATATGACTCCGCATGATGTTTTCATCGTTAGATTCTGGCGATTTTCTTTCCATTTCGGACAGAATCGATTTATCGGATGAGGTGGATTGGGAATCAGGAAGACTGATCGAACTGATTCCAATTGTCAAGTCTGCAGTAGATTTTCGTTCTTTTGTTAAGATTGATTTTGTTTCTGGTTTATCCCTCTTTCCAGATTCCTCAGAACTTGATCTGAGCAGAATTTTGAAAAGTTGAAGCTTGGTAAATGTATATTGTACTAAGAACATAAAATCATAAAACAATAATTTTAATTAGTTGCATTTTTATGTGAGTTTTTTTTTCAACTCTTTAAAAAGGACAACAGTGTCTTAGGTGCTGTAGCAAAATGCTATAGTTTATATATACTAAGAACAATTACTTTGTTTACACAGCCAGTCCTCCCCTGTTTCTACTCATCGGATTAGGCTATGAGTTCGTGGTTAATTTCACGTTTCGGTTAACTATGATAACTTGAATGTGGCAGCTTTCAAAGAGTCTTTAATATGGAAACGTCTTTCTTGGAATTTTCCCCAGAATTTTGTTTATTAGGATCTGTAAAATTAGCCGCATCAACATGGGCTTAGCCCACGGAAATTCTAATTTTAACGACATGTACCTAGGATGAGGTGGTTAACTTGGGAACGCAAAATCAGTGTTTGTGAGCTTTTACTAGTGCTGACATGCTCGGTAAAACAGATAATTGCAAATCCCTTCTTACTGATTAAATGCCGAACACACTTGATATTTGATATAAATTAAGATGGACTTTAAACATCTGAGATTCTTTCTTTCGTAACCTCAAAAATGGTTTTTGCTCGTTCAACTGAATGAGCCACTAATGCTAATCCATAAGCTGTAAAGATTCGCTCTGATGAACTAAATTTCTGTGCTAAATGTTTTTTTCCAAAAACATCAACATTGCAGCATTCCATCCCCTAGCTGTTTAAATGATATTGTCGACGTAAATAATGTGAACAGCTATTTACTGGCAGTGCTGTCTCAAAGTAAATCTATGTAACTATTGGCGTAATTGGTTTTTATTGTGGAAATTGTGGAAACTTTTAATAATTTTTTTCTTCAAATCTGTCAATGGCAGTCCAGCCTACCTAACTTCTCAAACCGACAATATTACCTTGTACTTAAAGAGAAAAACCGACCTTACAGACTCCTGCGTCTAGCACTAATTACACTTTCAGCAGCAGACCAAACAGAGTTCTTTTAAATCTACAACTCAAGTAAACATACATACACAACACTATCACCTCTCAACACAACAAACAATCTGTTGATTAATATAATTCCTGGACAGCGCTGGCATATAACGCGATATTAACGGGCCTTGTCTGGTAAAATTTAATATCTCAAGATAATGTTATAGCGTTTGGTCCCATATAGTTAATGTTTAATACATAAACAACAGAAAACATGGTATTTGTCGTTTAAGTTGTAATTCAGATATAGTTCTAACTTATTGTTAATTCAAGAGCCTGTATTATTGTATATTATGTGTGGTTTACGTGCGTTGTGAAGTATTTCTGCTAGATATTGTATATCTTACATATAGATCCATCAGACCATCAATATAAAACATCTAAATTTTGTAATAAAATTTTAGTCAAAGAATTTATTAAAGCAATACTGCCACAACGTATCATAAAATAACAACGTTATTATGCTAAGAACCGCATGGTAGAGGATTTGTTAGTAGCGAAGATGTGTGAGATGTAAAACTGTGGATTTATGGTCTCGTATTCATTTAATTGTCTTTTTCTATAAATCGTTATTACCGTTGTTTCCGTACAAATAGTAGCTTTGATTTTAAGGCAACTATACAACATATTATGTGTTGCCAATTAACTGCAAACTAAGTATAATTGATACAAATATTGAGATGTCTTCAGCCAATAGTGCTGCTAAATACCTGCTGCGTGAGCTCGCTTTTGTTCCTTCTCTCGACAAGCCAACAGTGGGCGAAAATATGTCGTCATTCGCCCTCATCAATTCCTTGCCTGAAAAATCATGAAATCTCGATTCAAATTAACTTGGTATTTTCGAAAAAAAAAACCTACACACCAATACCTATAATTCTACTATATAGAGAAGTGGAAATTGTATATTGCAGTGGCAAACTGTTGAAGCGTTTAGTTATTCAAAAGCACAACCGAATCTGGAGAGATGAGCCGTAATGCCATATATATGATTAAGCTAGTTATCGACTTTTGTTTTCTCATGAAATTTTTGCCAATTCTATAAGCAGTTTACAATGTGCACGACCTTCGTACCAAGACGAGATGAACAACACGCGTTTGGTAGGGTCGGCTTTCGTGAGCAACATTTTTATGCACACGGGAACAATTCACATATAATCTGTATCTTTGGATTTTCAATGGAATAAGTGGATCCCTCGAAAAAAAAACGAGTATTTCATCAAGACGTAAATACATTTATGTAGGCTTACTTGGCATGGCGACATTAGCATCCAACTTAGGTGAATCTGGAAGAGTGAGAGAAGATGAAGATGACGACCGTCTTGGTGCCGGAGACAAACTTCTCTCTTTTCTGGACCCTGCACGATTTTTCCCTTGTTTTAACTTTTTCATCTTTCTCCGTTGCTGTTCACGACGGGAAGCTTTGTCTGTAAAATGTTTAATTTACTACATAAAAATATGAAAAAAGTAACTAAATAGTATGGCTGACTTCATTTGCGCCACCTCCTTCGGTGAGCTTTTTTAACAGAGTATGTATGCACTTTATAAACGAGAGGTGTACACCAGGGGTCATGTTTATCCCCACATTATTTCTTGCTATTTATTCTCCATGCCAAGGAATATGAAATTCCGCAATAGTTTTGAATTGGTTTGGCTTCAATGTACGGTACTTAGTGTTCTCAAATATGAAAAATATGAGGAAGGTATATATATATATATATAGACGTCAGTCATATTATAAACACAATATTATTCCAAAGAATAATAATAAATAATGGCGCAAAATACACTTTTATTTTGATGAACAAAAGATACCACCTAATAGAAAGTGTTTACATTTTGAATACTTCACCAATTAGCATACAAAATACTTGGACCTATGTTGTGTTATGTTCCAATTTATCAAATATCTTTAAAAATGTGATTTTCCAACATTCTCATAAATAAGACTTACTTTTAAAATCATCATAGCAGTGAATTTGTATAATGGTAAGCGTAATGATATTTTCAAGGAGTTATTTCTTCTGCACAAAATATTACCTTTCTTTTTTATGGCTGGCTCAAAATCTTGTCCGGTCTGCAGGCTGACTGGTTTTGTTTCTTCAAATTCTCCCATCGTTGTAGAATCGTGTTCGCTTATCACTGACCCAGCAGGACTTCTTACAGCGACCCTCCAGTTGTCATGAAAATCTTTCGAGTTATAATTCTGTTTGGATATGTAAAAAATAAAATTTATAAAAAAAAATATTCTCGTTCCCACTTTTCACGCTATTTAAAAAATTTAATAAATGTGATGAAGTAGGAGGCATTATTTTTAAAAACGCTCACTCGTCTTAAAACATCAAGTTCATGTCGCTGTTTCCTTTCAATTTCAAGTATGCGATCTTCCGATAGCGAGGAAATGTCATATTGTCGATTCTCCGAAAACGGTAATTGTGGTTGAGTTGGAGAAACATCACTTTTTCTGATCTAAAAATAAAATCGAACAAATTTTCCAACTGTTTAATCGTGATCACCAATTTAAATATCGGCCTTGGGTGAGAGATAAGTAAACCAATGGATGAGACCCTGTTGTGTGTAATGGCCAAAGAATGTTCTGAGCATCATTGCAGAATTTTTTCCAATTTTTTGTTTTGTTTGAAAGTAGTGTCAAACTGTAAATATTTCATTCCTAAAAATGGCGTAACGAAAACAGCTATGAAAAAGATTAGAGAGCAACCTCTCAAAATTTTATGCTTAACGAATAGTATTTTTTTTCTTATATATATGCAAGCCCATAGCATTTTACAGAAATGGATACAGTATATGAGTATTCAAAACAACGAAGTCATGACAACAATCAACTTTTGCTTACTGTAAATGGTGCCGGAGCTTTCCAGAGCCGTGGTCTTTGTTTTCCTGTCAGCAATGAAACTGTTGATGACACTTTTGAGTCGCTACTGTGATAAATGCTGAACGGAATTTGTCTTCCTATATTACCCATGTATACCGAAGTAACCGGCAACATTTCTTGGTTGATTTCAACAGTCTGTAATGCAATACCATGTTGGTATCGTTAGCAAATACAGGTTTTGACATTAGTAGCTAGGTGTATTCCTAAAAATCGTTTTTCTTGCCCTAAGCCACAGAGTACTCTTGAGTATCCATATCGGACATCGAAACACAACTCCAAAGAGAGTCACGAAAATAAATACCGTTTTACCGTTTTAAATACCGATATACAGAAAGAAAATAATGAAAGCGATGCAATGAGTAAACATATCATAACCTTTGCTAGAAATGCTCCCTCATTCTGTTTGAGTATTTCATCTGTGGCCATAAGTTTGTCGTACTTCAATTCTGCTCTCGCTGTTTCCAATAAGCGAGGCAATAGACTGTGAGCCAAAGTATTAGGCGATTCCATCAGTGCGTGCAAATCCCCTGGTGACACAGAACGAGTGGATCTAAAACAAATTAACTCAAGGTATTATGGCCGTATCGGCTTTTCAGCCAAATAATAAATATTAGGAAAATTCATTAAATAACCGAACTAGAACACCAAGAACAACTTAGCTGTGACCAACATGCATGATTTCAAATAATAGCAAAACATGATTATTGGACCCTTCGGATCGTTTTGTTGTTATGTTGTTATTAGTATTTTTCCTTTTTCTTGTTGTTGTGAAAAAAATCGCTAAATTGAAAAAAGTACTAGACCAATTGCTTTGAAATTTTCACTGTTTGAACATTGTTGTTGTCGCTGGAAAGGTATTCCTTTATTTATTTGATCTGGTGGTCAGACTACCGTTACGCTCAGTTTTGACCTTCGTGTCCGTATATTTTAGCATTGCTCTCTTGTTATACTCCAGATTGAGGCAAGTATAGAGTCTTTTAACATAAATGTACAGAGTATTCATTTCCTGATGGACAGATGCTTTTTCTTCTCGTATACTATACATTTTTAACGTGTATGGACATCAATCATATGTATGTAAAGGTGACGGTAGTCTATTGATAATAGACTTTGTGTCCATAGGTTTGCGTATTACATTCATGTTATAAATATCTATTTTAGCGAGCATATAAATTGGTACCTATCTTTATCATCAGCTGATTTAGGGCGCGGGTAGAAATTTGTCTGCAACAACCCGTTCGCTGATTTGGAATATCTTGTTGCCATATTCCTCTTGTTTCTTGCTTTTTTCGATTTGTGTGAAGTAATTTTAAGAACGTTTATTGCAGCATCCGCCTTTCTTTTCACGTAATCCTCAATGAGTGGATCATCTATATCGTTTGCGTAAAATGAAGTTTATCAGAAAAGAAGATAGAAATTTAACAATCAATGCCATACAAAATTTTCTATTACGATGCCAGTTCCCTTGCTGATGTCTTTACTATCTCTGATTTCTGTATAGAACCGAAATCACAACGATTTATACAATTTTTCTAAAATGTTGAACCGCGTAAAGGGTATTTTTTGGATATCTAAGTAGATATATCGTATGAATCTACCGTTTATATTTAGTAGAATAGTAATATATATTCATATGCTATGGTGGTAGAATTTAACTATCTTAGAATCCCAGGAGAGTGTTATAACTGCAAGTCCACTAAGTCTTGAAATAGGATATCGTATAAGCAATGGCGACTAGAAGTATTCGAATAATCTCTAAAACATAATAGCTTTCCACACACCAGTGTCTGATTGTTTTAAGTTTTCCTAGGCGAAAAACTGGCACAAACAATCGATAAAATGATGACGAAGTGAAGATGATAATATATATTAATAAATGCGAACCCGTGGCATCAGCAATTGCCCTGACAAGTTTTGGAAAATTTCCTCCTCTTCTTATGTAAGCTTCAACAATTTTCGGATCATCCGGGAATTGTTCCAAATCTTCTCTGATTGTGCGATCATTTGCAAATTTTTCACCAATGTCCTACGTAGACCAACAGAAAGAAAGTAATTCTGCATTGAATGAAATACTACAAGAAGGAATTTTAGAAAATCGTCGATACCGGAGTTTTCCCGCTGTCAACTCATTGCAATCCACAATACAAGATTAGTAGAGGAAAATTGAAAAACTAAAAAAAAAATGTTTTAAAAACAAAATGTTTCCCGACATTTCACATTCCTAAGCCTACTAGTCCGAAGCTCACCCCGAAAATAATTATGCCGATGTCTGTATTTTATCACCGTCATGATGACAATGGAATAACTGTTCTTTGAATGTTCAATTTATTCTGTTAATTCCAGATTGGGTAAAACGCCGTTCTTGTGTTTGCGATAGATGGGAGAATGAACAACTCACATGCAATTTGGTGGTGCATTTCACATCCTTTTAGAAAAAATTTCGTATGGGGAAATTTGTTTATAATATCATAAAAAAGTGCAAATGCCATTAAAATCAACACCCACGCAGTGTTGTGGATCTGTAAACGTGTTTTCAAACTACCCGGAATCAGGAGTCGAAAATTCAATGGTGATAAAAGAATCCTAAAATGTAGGGCGAGCATACGCCAAAGTTTTCGCTATCAAAATTTGAGTTATGAGTTGAACTCGAGTCGATTCTAAATTTTCCCCGATTTCATGGCCCTGCTCTCAAGTATTCATTGATCCAAGTAGAATACTTCTACGAATTAATAGTAGGTTAATGAATCAAGGCAATGCTAGTTGTAGATTTTGTTTTATTTCTACAGGTTTGCATCATTAAAAACAGGTTCTTCATTTACTGAAATCAAACGCCAAACGGACCCTGCTTGTTATGATCTGACCTACCTGTAATAATCGAACGTTTCCTCCTTCTTTTACATACTTTTGGACTCGTTCGGAAGAGAATGAACATCCATCATTTACATATTGTTTCAATATTTTCACTTTTCCTCCGTTCTAAGAGGAAAATATGAGAGTAAATGAATTTGGAAAATGTCATTCAAAAAAATATATATTTAAGATCAAGCAAGTCCAGATGTTGTTTCGTTAGTTCTATGTTTACCTAAATTTTCTCTGAGAAAAGTCGAAACAAATATATTACTGGTAGATTAAGAGTCCCAGTTGACAGGGAAGCAGTTGGAAGCTCAACGACAAAGACTTGAAATTTGAAATCGTGAGCTTTTATCGAAGAAATTTGAACGCAGGTATCACTAAAGTGGAAAGATGGGCCATAACGCAGAGGATCGACCAATAATCTTTAATTGAGGAAACGATAGCGAAACATACACAAACCTATCAAACAAATCAAGTGCCATGAAATACTTCATATGAATGCTTGGCAGAGATCATTGGTGAAGGGTAAAGTTTCAATACTCATTCTCAAATTGCAATGGATTTGATATAGATTAATTATTATTAATTGTAGACATGTATGTACTTCATAAATTTTAAAACAGCATTTAACAACAATAACAAGTTTAACAAACATACAACAGAATTAAAAATAAAACGAATTTGAGATTGTCGTCGGCATTATGTATAAGATGAACATTTATTCTTAAATATACCTCTATATATTTTTGTAGTAGATTAGCGGTTGCGTAGCTACGGAAATGATTTTTCACAAATTTTTCAATATCACGTATTAACATTGTCTTGTTGGGAAACTTCTCAGCATATTCTTGTACCAAAGAAATGTCGCCATTTTCGGCTTCATATTGAAGCACACCTAAAAATACAGGTTTACGATAGAATAAAAGAAGTTGGATTGGAAATAGGAAGAAAAATATCAAAAATCAGAGTAAAGCAAATTATAAAAACCATCGTTGGTTCCTCACATGAGGTTAGGAATACGCTCGCGATCGCATCTCTGATTACCCTGAGTGGGTTCGCAGGTTCGAATCCTGTAGGGGATGATTATGTGTAACAGGATCGCTGGACCTTGCCTTAGGGTGATTCACGTGCTGCTGGTCGGTTACGGCTTCCTTCACCATAAAGTTCATGTATGTGAAACAAAAAAGGCTAAATAATATGGTAACCGGATGGGGGCCGTGGTTCGCCATATGAGTAAGTCGTATTATCCACTTTCCTCTCCCCTGACATAAAGATATGCAAATACTAACTTTATTTGGAACAAAAGTTTGGAAAACACCCACAAAAACCTCACCAGCAGATGACGCTCCTTTATCTATATATTCCAGAAGAACGTCAAGTTTTCCACCGCGTGAAATATATTCCAGCAATATATTTGCATGTTTGTGATCTATTTCATTTTCGATGTATAGGCGAAGACTTTCTATTATTTCCGTTTTCATCTGTTTCTGTTCCGTAGTAAGATCATCATCGCTTTCGGCGTCAAATTTGGCATCTTGGATGCCAGCAAAATCTCTCAAAAGTCTGGATGCATAGTGCTCGAGAAGCTCAACATTTCCACCCTGCTTTTCAAACTTCAATATATCATCACTGTTGCGTCCTGTGCAATGCAAAGATTGTTTCATTATTGTTAGTAATTTTAGTTGACAATATTGTAATTATATATATATGGTTAGAATATAAATTTCACATTAGGGTCACATTATTTCCACACAAAACACTAATTTTCTATGACTTTGTTCACGCAGGTTAGGAAATGTTAAGTTTGGTCACGTTATTGCCATCTCTTTCCACCTTTCTCTGTTTATCTTATGCTGCCAATGTTTTTGCAAACTTAACCTAGCCGAACCTATACCATTGACAAACAAAAAGGAAACAGACCAGGCAAGTGGACAATACCTTAATACTACCCAAGCAGAATTGTAAGTCTGAAGTTGAACTAAGAAAAAATTTTCTTACCAAATCGAAGAAGACAAAGCAGCATGTCCAGATCTCCTCCAGCACTGATGATTTCTATGAATCGTTTGACCAATTCAATTTCACGGTCATTTGCCTGGAGATAGAACATAAAATGATTATGAAAAATTGGGAGATGTAGGCTATACCGAAATCTATATCGTGGGTATCTTTCACAAAAATGGGCGTGTGCAAGTGAGTACCATACGTGATTTACATACGGTGTGCTATCGTGGGTAGGCTATATATGTAGGGCCCTATAATCGAGAAAAATGAACATGTTGACTACAAAAACATGGGCGCATACAAGCCTACGTTAATAGCGTGTTGAGAATGCTTGATCAATGTAATTTTTCGGATCCAAAGCTGTCCTACGGACAATTTCATTTCGACAACATAAAAGTATAGTATTTCCAATCGATTCGAGCAAACGACATTTCGATCTCCTCACTGACACACTACAACCCGGCCTATACACTTTTCTTTATGAAAATCCCACAATCTTTGGCGTATTGTGTGGCACTGACTTGGGATGGTCACTCATTGAGGGTCGCACTTATGTTTGACATGGAGTGGACCTGTTCAACGTTGCTGTTCTTGTTGTTGTTATTACTCGAATGCTTGGTGTTTGGAGTAATTGCGAGAAATTTGTTTTACTCCGCAACTCATGGACCAATCAATTTCAGTTCAAGTACTCGGAAACTAAAATTTATTGCTTTCATTTCGACACGTAGTTCACGGGTACACACACCTTTATATAACATTCTGTACACACACACACCATAGATAGGTGACATCTAGTACAATTCAAATAACATTTGACATTTGTGTTCATATATTTGAACAGTTCTCCCTTTTCCAATAATAAATTTCGCTAGACGCGAGAGCTAAAGCGAGACAACTGGATATATAAAAGCCTAGTCCAATATATAGTTTTCTGTAGCCTATCACATATTCCAGTGATTTTCAACCGGTGCATTTTACTTTCTCGTCATCATTTTTTATTTTACTGAATACAAAATTTACAACTTTGAAACGGTATATAATATTGCGCAATTAAAAATTTATGCCCTCAACTTTTATGTTCAAATATTGCCGACGTTGGTGCTCTAGCACTAGAGTTCTAAGAAAGACATAACCGAATTAAAGCGATACTGATAATCAATTTTTTAAACATTTTATTTTAGGCAATTAAATTCAATGTGACCACCAAGGTGAGAGAAGTAAAATCTTACAGGAGCACAGTGAAGGTAAAAGGGCGGAAAAATACAGACGAAAATAAGACCATACATAAACTCATCGACACAACAGAAACTAATTCGGCTCAATCTACCCTTCGTGACATTTTATTCTTTCACATCCTAGACTTCCAAACAAGCGAGTATTCAGTATTTCATTGTTTGAGAGTTGAAAAGCCATAGTAGGTAATGTCATATCAAGGGGTCAACTATGCATACTTTACTTTACCTCAACTGCTGGATAGCAAGTTTTTACTGAGGTTGTGTCAAAAGTGCATTTGGACCAAAATTAGGCCAACGGATTATCTCAGTTCATAAATGCATGAACAACAATGAAACACAAATGTAGAAACTGCCAGTACCATTCCAGTGTGGTATCTACAACATTATTAGTGAACTTAACCATTACGCATATCCAGACAGATAGAAAAATTACACATAACATTTGTTGGTGACCGTACATTTGAACCCACGTGCACTTGAACCCATACATTTGCATCCGTATATCCGCGGGTTCAGTCAATATGAGGGTGCTAAACTCCATGAGTTAGGGTTAGTATGTGTTCAAATATCCGTAACAAAATGTCCATAGGTGCAATTGTCGTGGGTTCAAATAACGGGTTCTAATGTTCATGGGTTTAAATGTAACAGAACCCATTTGTTAGCACCTCTCCCAAAAATTAATCTTTGAAGAAAAAGATTTTTCGACTTGCATATTCATGACTCATGCGCACCTGAATGATAGATAAGAAGAAGAAAAAATTATTCTATAAATGTGGCGTCACAATAGTATCAGTCTATCAGTAAAGTTTGACGCATAGTTCTCAACAGCCAAGCTTAGACAAATACTGATGATATAATCGGTTTCTAATTCCGAATTCCGAGCCCATTAAATAGTCCACCAAAGAAGATGCGATTTCATTGTTTTGTTTTAGTGACAGTTTTTTTCTCTCATTGAACCTACATCGGGCACAAAGTCACGACAATAAAAGAAGAATGGTTTGTGAAGAATTAGATGATGTGTTTGGAAATGTGAATCAACAGAGACCTGTTGTTAGATCTCAAATTATCAGACCTCCGGGTAAGAGAGGACCACCTGGAATGGAGCGGGAGAAAGAAGATGTTGGCAGTAAAGGTCAAAAGGGACTACCAGGACCATTAGGAATAAAAGGTTCTATAGGCGCTCCTGGTGTAGCTGACAAAGATGAACTCAGAAAAATACAAAGTGGTAAAATTTATATCATGATTCATTTAATTCCTTATACTGTAATCTAAAATTGACCAAAAATTTGACTATCGACAATTTTCCTATATTAACAAAATCAAAAATACCATTTTGTAAAAATTCCATTTTTTTCCTTATTCAATATATGGTTTTCATTCAGAATCGCCGACGTTGATATTCTAGCAAAGAGTTCTAGCAGAAAGCTAAAAGATTTAGAAGGTAAATGTATGACAAAAAAACAGCTGGGTATGTAAAAACTCACCTTTTTCATTAAGTTAAACTTTGGTATAGTCACGAAAACTGAGATTTATTTATTAAAGTATATACTCAAAGACAATACATCCCCAAATTTTATGCAATTTAATAAAATTATCTTCCGTGCAGTTTTAATATGCTGATAAAAGTTCACCTCCCATCTAAAGATGAAAAATTTGTCTATTTCTTTTGGACAGATTGCACTACAAAAAAAAATGTCCAACGAGTTATAACCAGAACTTATAATCTTTCAAATATAACCAGAAAACTGTGACAGGGTTTACGACGGAAAATGTTACGTGTTGGTCACAAATGAAAGCTAATTCAATCTAAACCAAGCGAAGGCAGCTTGTCATAATATTGGAGGAAATGCAGCAAATATTTACAGCAAAGATCACTTTCATAAGCTGGTAGCCTTAATCCGATCGCGCATAATTATAGGATACAATGAGCATAACGTATGGACTGGAATGACTTTGAACATCAGTGTAACCCTTTCCCGCCGCGCACTCAACAACTCGCAACGGCGCAACTTTTGGGTACCTCTGCAATAGTCGGTTGGGCCATAAAAATGCGCCTCCGAGTATAAAGTTCGACCACCATTGAATATTGAAGTTCGACAAATTCGAAACAGCTTCTCATTTTCCAGACAAAAAGAATTTTGTTATCTGACGGAAGAAGTGCTCCATACGCACACTGGCACCCAGATAGACCATTCAATCATACAAGAGCTTACATTTTCATCAACGTTAAGTCGGATCCGAGTAGCATAAATCAAGGGATGCTGGATGGAACTCATACTTTCAAGGAATCTGGAGTTTTGTGTGAAATGTGAATTGTTCCAAAATGAAAAAAAAAAAACAGTGAAAACCCGTCAAAAAATACCAAAAACCTTTCAAAAACGTACAAAACCCATGAAAACTCAAACAGCCTTGCAAAAACAGTGGAAACCGTGAAAAAAGTCGGATTCGTAGGGCTTTAGATATCGAACACACTAGATTTATAATTGCACGAATTCAAGTTGCAATATGGTTTATTTTAATCTGGGATAATTCCAATAATTTAATTAAAAAGACTATAAAATCTACCGTCATTTTATTGTTATTTGCAAGTAATCAGTAGTATTCAGGATTCATCGATTTGTGTGTTTTAATAAAGTTTTTACCAGTTTATTTGTATTGTATCACATATAGACAATATATAAACAAATGTATAAGTAAAATTCCCTAAATAGTTCATTTCTCAGATGCTAATAAATAGATGTGTATACAAAAAGCTGTAAGAACGACGCTATATTGCAGTGCACATTGTCTCATTATTTATCTCGAGTTTATGAAATTGTGTACCGTTGAGCTGAATGGACTGCTGATTCATTTTAGAGTTACGTAAGTTGATTTACATGACAGAATTGATTTATTGATTTCCTGAAAAACGGCATTTAGTATCTATCAACCATCTCACTCGCAAAGAGAACACCCAATTCCGTTAGGACTTCCATCTACGGATTGACCAAACTTTATTTAATTTTTAGAACTCATCTGTGATCCTATTAGTATTCATTTTTCTAACATACTTAAATAATTAATAATAATTCAACTCAAAATCCATTTTGTGACAAATTGAATATAGGTAACATGTATATAAAACAATAAAATGGTGGATATTTTTGAAAAAAATCAATCCTCTCTATTCTAAGCAACTAAATGCGATATAGCAATAAGCTGATAACAGCGTGACCCACAGTTGTACATTGGTTCCTTCCACCTAACCATATGGGTTAATTTCTGACTCAAGAATTTCTTCTTTATCTAACAAATAAAAAATGAAATGCCACAGGAAGCTCAGACGAGGTTGAGTCTTTATTGGCCTTAAAGTCATTATCAAAACGATAGCCTCTTTAACATTTTAAACTTTGACTGAGCAACTGTTAATCTCAGTTAGGCTTTTTGGTCCGAGAAGTTGAACCGGCGCATACCAGTTAATGTCATTGCCTATGTCGTCATACATTCAAAAGGGTAAAACTGCATGGTTTATACGAGCCAAACGTTAAATGTTCGAGTTAGGTCAGTATTTCCCAACTTTTATTCCGACCTAGTGTTATGCGCAAGTCACTCCTCCACTTCTATACAGTTTACGTAGTTTATAATGTAAGAATAAATAAGTATATATATATATAGTAATAATGAAAAACAAAGCCAGAGCAATTTTTTTTTTCAAAAACGACAAAATTTCTCCCTGATTGGGAAAAGGTGATTCAGGTGAAATAAATGATGAAAATTAATAGATTAATAGATCAATACAATGAGGATAATAAAGTCAAAGAAATAGTTTTTAATCAATTTGGTAAAATTTATACTTTCAGTTTTATCTTAGTAATGAGCACTTTCTTTGCTCTGCACATTATGCACTCGTTTAAAATATTTCTGAAAATTTTATCAGCAGTTCTGCTACGACTATCAACATTTATCTGTGTCAGAAATATTCTAGTTATGCTAATGGTAACAGGCCATTTCAATGTAATGACATGTGACGGATATAGAGGAGAGGTGTAGTTTGTTTACTTATTATTAGGTAAAGCAAAGGCAATTGAATTTAAAAAAAAATATGAATTGTCTTACCTTTACGATTCCCGATTGTTTTTCGAGTTTCAACGTCATTTTTTCTTTGATGTGACCTCGTAGAAGTTCCGCATATTCTTTAATTAATTGGACGTTTATACCTAACATCTGTAGATCTTTCAAAACTTCGGGATCGAAATTTGATTCCAAATATTCCTTTCAAAAAATATAAATATTATGTACGCCATATGACTATATTAGGAATGGAGTTTATTGATGATTTTCCATTGGCGGCAAGATGGTAAACGTATGGTGGTGCTGCAATCCATTGATATCCTCAAGTAATAAGAGTAGAGGTTTGCCTTGTTGTATAGTGTTGTGAGGTTTATTAACTTGATTTGAATATAAATCCGAATTAGGATAACTGAAAAATATCTTAATTTTAAATATACCTTTAATGCATCCGGATCACCTCCATTATCAAGAAATCCGTGAAATAAGCGAGTCGAGAAATCATCTCCCATTGTTGCGTCACGAATTTCTTGATCGAACATGGTCGAACCTACCAATATAGGGTGAAATATTTATATATATTATAGCTATATATTTTATATTATTATATATAAAAGTAAATGCGATAAGAACTATAAATGTCAGCTGGTGATTTAAAATGAGCAGATTTTCATGACTAAAGTTGAGGCGAATCATTTCACGGTGCTCCCGGAGTATTCGTACCAAGATGGCGCACAACCTGAACATAGTATGGGTACCAGGTTAGGGTTGTTCAGGTTGTACGTCATCTTGGCACGAATACTTCCGGAGCGCCCATTTCATTAACCTGATTGATGATTACTTGAAAAATGTGACTCAAGTCGATTTATGTATCTAGTTATGTACAGTTTTATACCTGATTGTTCGTCACCATGCACGATCCATCTCCCAGTATCAACTTTAATGTTAGCAGGTACAATGTCTAACGGTTGCAACGGATGACGACGATATATCGAGTATCCGCCTCCTATTCGGATCGGTGCGTTGTAATGATAACTGTTTGACAACACAGAAATGTTATATATGATTCAATTTTATTGAACCTGCATTTTTACGAATGCTCCAAGCCAGGGGTTCTCAAGCATTTGGTGTTATGTTATGGAGCCTATGAAGAGATATTATTTACGGAGCTCCTCAATAAATTAAAAAAAAACATATAGTTACTTAGTTAAATTGAAATTACTTTATTCAATGACTCGGCTCGTTTGCTGGTTTGTGTTCATATAAATAATAAACTGGACAGCTCGCGCAGCTCCAGGTTTTTCTCATTTTGAGAACCTATGCTCTAAGCGTCGGTAAACCTGGCCAAACGCTATCTATCTTAAGTTTTTGTTACTTAGTTTTAGTTTTAACTTACTGTGGTCCCTTCTTGTGAAAACAGCCATAACAAAGTCCAAAGTTGTCGTAGCTGCCACTTTCCCTTCCAAATCGAAGCGCTGCCAACCATGGGGGCTCATGTAATGTTAATCGATCAGATAAGGATACAAATCTGAAATGATATGTTTTCGAATAACCAATATTTGGTGTAGTCTGATTATTTTAGTAAATAAGTTTGAACTATTCATATACTGTATATGTGGAATACAAATGAATGCCGATGAATTTTCTGCATAGCCTACTTTGAAGCTTCTTGCCTAGTGTTCACAACGCGCGAAGCTTCGACCAGTCAATTGAACTTGTTATGTATACATTCTTAAATCAACGTGCCAAACACTAATCATGTTTATGGTTAATTGACACCAAAAATTATTTTAAAAACAGAAGTTTCAATTTCTGTGTTACCGAAACAAAAACGGTGCTCTACATTGATTAGTAGCCCGCATTATATTACCAACTCACTCTATCGGGTACACCTGTAGTCCCGAACTTTCTATTTTTTTCAATTCCTCTTCGGCATGAAACGCTTGCACAAAATGCTCAGGTAGAAATCCTTGAGATAAATCGTTAGTCGCACTCTGCAAGTTAAAATAAAGTAACTTAGACTAAATTAGGATCCGAGAAATTGAAAGCAAAATAGAATAATAGAGAATAACAATAAGATAAAATTAAGAGTTCGGAAGAGTTGAACAGCAAGAGAATGAAGTAGAACCAATTGTGCACGAGTGAGTTAGAAATAAACAAACTCACTAATGGTGTTAGATCAGCTGAATTCGCTGCAGAATTTTGGAGCTGTGGAAGCCGAAGTCCGTATGGATGTTTGGTCTTCGGATATTTCCATTTCGAATAGTCAGGTTTCATTTGCGGCGAGATCAGTGATGATACAATCTATTGAAATAAATCCTTTTAAAATCACTTAGAATTTAGATTTTGAATAGAATTACAGACACAAAAATGGGGATTGTGTCAGTCGAGTACAACCCACCACGTTTGTACCGTGAGTGTGGTATTGGGCATGCATCACTAAACAAAAATCGAACTCAAAATTGGAGCGTTATGGTGTTTTTTTTGTTCATATTGAATAAAATGAATGTAAGTGCAAAATCATTGCAATTTATCTATTATTGAAACTTATTGATGGCCATCGAATTGCTTTAGGCAGGCTTATACGTGGGGTAAATACCTCACTAGTAATGCCAAGGATGTTATTGAACACAAATAGTCTGGCACAATAATAATTTTAAAGATTTTTATATCTTTTTAAAAAAAAACAAAAACGTAATTTATCAGCTGTACAGCTGTGTGGGGGGAGCATATTCATTAAAATATTCCTGGCATCATAAAATCAGTTTATTAGTCTGAAAACTATACAAAGAATCTGGATCAATCAATTAAACCTGCAAATACATAAAAGAAAGTCTATGTATATTGCACATTTTTAATAGAATGTTAATAGTTGATTTCGTATGGGGTACATACATTCATTCATTGTCAAAATTAAAATTTCACATTTAGAAAAAAGAAACAATAATCCAATTCAATACCATGTAATGTTTATAACCCAGTTAACAGTATAACATGGAGTTGAAATCTGAACACCTTAATAAATTTCATTATATTTGCAAGTTTGTTCGGGATAAATCAATGATTTAAAAGCTTTCATTCTCTATTGTTAGTTTAGTGTAGGTTGGTTATTGGCTTAACCATAAATTCATTCATTTCATAGTTTGCCTTAAAATGACTAAAACGATTTCTATTCAGAGATTTCCTTCGGTCTCTGTTGGGTTAGTAATACTTGTCTTGAATAAATCAAATATCCGAATGAGCATGGCTTTACAAAAACAGAGGTTTATTGAGTTCAGATTTACATTGGCCCACGATTTTCCTTCCAGTCAACACCGATCGACTACAGTCAATATTTACCAACTGCGTGCTAAACATTACATATATCACTGAAGTTGTATTACATCGCGTCCCACTTTACCGAAATAAATTGTTAGCATACATGTTTCTCCTCTGTAGGTAAATCTTCCAATAAATCGCCCTGAAGAAGACGTCTTCTAGCGTTCCAAATAGCTCGTTGATAGGAAGTATTCAGCCACGAATCCCGCATTTTCTGACGCAAAATATCCTGCATAACTTCTTGATATCTTTCATTTGGCGTCTGCCCGAAATTTTTAACGGCAGTTCGATTTTCTTTCATGAAACGCGAATCTTTGTTTGCTTTTTGGTCTGTTATTTTTTGAGACGGCCTGACGTCATTTTTAATAATCGATGCTTCCCTAACAACCAAATCTGGCAACCGGGCTTTTGTTTTTGATCCATCCTCGTGCTGCGCGGTCTCGATTTCGTGTTCAGGGCCAATATTACTTTCAGGAGTGTTGGGCTTTTGTTTTTTACTTGATGGCCCTGGTATTCCTTCTAAGTCTAACCATTTTCCGGTTTCCTCGGACATAATTTTAGATGTCCTTAAATTAACCCTATTAATTTTAAAAATGAATAGAATAAATAAAAAGAAATATTAACAATAGCATATGAATGTGATATATATTATAACTACATCCACTGATGATATTCCTGTTGCATGCATATAGTATTGTACTGGAAAGACGTATTATCATAGAAGTGAAAATGGGATATGCAGTTTTATAAGAATTAGTGAATATATTAAAACAATAAAAATTGATACAATTATATATATACTTATAACAGTATCTACCAAATTTATTTTACTTAGGCTAAACCCCGAAAAAAAAAAAAACAGGGAGGCAACATTCGTGTCATTTTCTTGTGGGATCCGCCCTCCCTTTTTTCATGCGCGCTTAATCTTTGTCCTCTGATAAATTATGAAATTAATTAGCAATTTTAACGAAACAAATCTGTACAATTGTTTAGGAAGCCGCAATTAGTCTGAACATGAATTATCTATCCTAAGACGTTAACTTTTGTTCTGCACAAGTTATATTCACACGACTTCAATGACAATTGCGATTTAATCTGTAGCCTATGCCTATATATTACTATTATATGACAGCACTATCATCTGCACACAAAGTTCTGTTATAAACAACACTGCGGCGCTACTTTCCTATTTGGGCTTGAACTTAATAAGGATCTACGTTTCACTTGTGATGGATGGTGGTATGAAATGTTAGACCAACGGAAAGTTTAATATTTAGGTATCAGCTGTCATAAACTGTTGTCTACCCGCTGTTAAATTATGTAATATTCCACTCAAGTACCCTTGCCTAATAGATCACTTAACTTCAAGTATGCGAATTACCGAAAAACGCGATGTCGAGTTGGATATTGCTGACGGAAATATTCGTAATCTAAATTATTGAAATACATATTATTTTAAATTACCTATGCCATCTGGCTTCAATTAATATCATTACTTCAATAGTCCTACAGAAACCTAAAGAATAATTAGTTTATTTGCCTGTATAGCTAGATTGCTCAGATCAAACACAGACATTCAAATATACAAAAACAATAACTTCGACTACCTTATTAACACGAGCTAGGAAGAGACTAAAATTCACGATAAAGTTACTTTTAGTTATCTACGACGAGCTGACTAAAGTTTGTTCTATGACGTCATTTGCTATTTGGCCAGCGTTCAACAACTACATTTTCTCCACATGAAACCGTAGACCGAATCGAGAACTACTTTTACTGTGACGGTCCTTAAATTCCATGTAACAAATAAGTCGCAAGCAATAATAAGCAGGGGTAAAGGTAAAGTTTACACAGTTCGGACTAATTTCATATAGGGCAAGGTGTGTTTCGTGATTTTGGTTTGTTTGTTCCGGACATCTACATCCCAATATCGGTTCTCCTTTTCACACATGTACCAAATCTTGCGCTCTGGTCGACATCGATGTTTTTTTTTTATTATTACTCGAAGGACCGCCCGTTTTGCTCAACAAAATCGAAAGCCATTGTGCGATCATTGGTCGAGGAAAATTCTAGGTATAATTTGCAACCAAAATATCCGAATTTAGTTCATTATGATTCTTCTTCTTCGTGTAGGCGTTGATCATCCTTATCGCCACTGTAAAATAAAAAGTGTATAATATCTTCGCTACTGTCTTTCTCTGTCGATCACAATTCCGGCCGTCGTCGGGTGCGGACGTATCTGCTTGAAAAGACTGGAGTATGCTATACGCGCTGTATGTTTCGGTATTTGTATCGCGTAATATCAACATGAGCAAAGCCCATCCACCGAAATTAAAGAAGTTTATGAATAAAAGATTAGATTTAAAGTTAAATGGTGGACGATCTGTTACGGATATATTGCGAGGTTTCGATCCTTTTATGAATCTAGTTGTGGATGATGGAACAGAGCGCAGAAAAGATGGGTCCACTGCACCTGTTGGAATGGTGGTCGTTCGTGGAAATTCGGTATTACTGTTGGAAGCATTAGAACGGATACAATGATTTTAAATTGAACTAATCGAAAGAACCCGATACCCCAATCCATGATTTGTGTATAGACTGCTATGGAACATTCAATCTATTTACCGAGCTTGTTTTTTAGTAATAATTTTTTTGTCACTGTGCTATTTTTGAAATGAAATTGAACTAGGCCTACAGCATCACCATTTTACGTCAGCGAGTGTTTTTTACTCCATAGTTTTGTAGGAAAAACACTGTTGTTATACACATACACGTCTCACATTTTAAATTTAATTTAAAAGTATTGCCCGATTTTATATCGTGTTTTTGTTTTATTGTGTTTTGACTGTTTTTGGTGGACGGGCACGTACTTGTACGTCTTTAACTTTTTTTATCAAGGTATGCCCGTCCTCCGAGTCCTCTGTGTTTTGTTTGTTGTTGGTTTGTTGATATCAGAGTGACCAAATAAAATTGATTGATTGATTAGTATTTTGCTATCATGTGTATGTTATTTTTGCGTTAAATAAAACTTCTGGAATTTAGTCAGTGCGTAAAAATGCATGCATATTGTGTTCAGATGTTCGCAATAGCTTTGTGCAATCCAGGCGTTTGATTCGGCGACGCGAAAATTCTACCGTAAATCAGAACTGGTATATTTTGCGGCCCGCAATGAGTTTCCTCATGTGAAAGTGGCACGAGGTTTATTGTTTTCCACTGTTGCTTTTGTAACACTTTGAACATTGTTCATAAAATATAACTGTTTACGTCAAACTTACATGGCCCACCAGTCTGGGTGGGCAAATTTTTTGGCTCTCGATCCAAAAAACACCCCCCGCCCCTGGTCTACAGTCTACACCAGGGGTCGGCAAACTTTTGTTGTTCGCGAGCCAAAATAAAAGGTTGCAAGTCATTGGTGGGCCGCACATATTTTTAGAGAGTTAAAAACCGAGGGAAAGGCCAATGAATCACATTTTTTCACACAGATTTCAGTTAAATTTCAAGCAGCGCGCGAAGACTGATCATTTGAATATTTTCTGCGCCATGCAACCATTTGTACTCAGCATCAACTTTTTTACGTTCTGTTGCCATTTGTCTAATTATAATCAATTTATAGGCTCATTGAACGAGTGATTGTGAATTACATACTTGTTAGGTTATAATATAATTTGGTGTCCCAAAATAAATTCTGTTACGTAAAGAATATAGTCGTCAACCGTCAATACAGTTATTTTGTTCATATAATTCAGTGAAGCGTCGTGGGACGGATTATATTGTTCCGCGGGCCGGATCTGGCCCGCGGGCCGTAGTTTGCCGACCCCTGGTCTATACCATCTTTCTTTGATTTGACCATTCCAGTGGAGGTCTCTCCGAATATTCACTTCCTTGTCGAATCGGATCATTTGTTATTCCAATTCACGTTGAAACTGGGAGCATCAACATAAGCATGGTCACAGAACATGGAAAACTAGGAATTCCGGAGACCGGTACCCTGATACAGCTAGGCGCTGTGGCACATCGTGCTAAGCGTTAGGAATACGTTTCCACCGCATCTGTGATTACCTTGCATGGGTTCGCAGGTTCAAATCACGTTGGGTTAATTATGAGCGAGAGGTTTGCTTGACTCCTCGTCGTCGTAGGGTGATTTCACGTGAACACTGGTCGGTTACGATTTCCTCCACCATCAAGTCCATGCATCTGAAAACGAATAACTGGCTAACTTATCCCATACCTGAAATAGATTGATAACCGGACAAGAGGCCGTGGTTTGCCATACGATTAAGTTGTCTCATCAACTTCGCCTCCCCCGGGATAAATATGTAAATTATATCCTACAGGCTTGCTGGTAAGTAACTATTCCACTACCACCTTGTGTCGATTCCGCGTTCGCGTGAGTGCTCAGGCGAAGTCGTGGAGACTGCGGTATCGACAGCCTACTCTAAAAAATTGAGTACCCGTATAACTTCGTTTTGGCTTTCTTTTCTATACATTCAAGCATCGCTCTTTTTGCTTACAATTACATAAGTAATCTTTTTTAATCAGCGAGGTGTCAAGAGTGACGTAACAAAAGTATATATATCGTGGTTTTCTCGTTTTTCTTCGAAATTTAGGTATAATTTGTATAAACGCAATAACATAGTTTGATTGCAGTATAAACAATAGTAGTATAAATTAATCGCGAAAAAACTGCGATTGAGAAAGCTAAAAGTAGCCTACTTTTAAATAACAGGTAGCTATTTATTTCGAATCAAGATGATTGTTATGATTAGGGTGGGACCCCGGGAAATCATGATCCCGAAATCCTGGGATTCAGACTGTTTTCAATCCCGATCCCGCAGTTATTTCTTGAACATCCCGGGATTTTAAGGCTTTGTTATCCAAATATGGATATTCTCACAAATGGTAGGTCTTACACAGTGGTGGGATTCAAATTTTTTGTCAGCGGCGGTTCCTTCACAAAAGTTATATTTTTCAGTCTGTTATGTTACAATCAGAACATAGACCGTAACCAGTAATGCTAACCGGTTCGCTGATCTCATAAAATTTCGTGATACGATTCTATAGTACCGGTGCGAACCGGCTGAATCCCACCACTGGTTATACTATTTTATTTAATACTTGTTTTGAATTAAAAGCTATCCACCCTTACAGTTTGAGTCAGTCAGACAAAGTGGAAATATTATGCGAAATTTTTCTCAAATTTTACCAAGGAATTATTATTTGACTAGTTGAATTGCCTTTATTGTCGACTTATTTAATCATAATTTGAACTCAAAATAGCATTCAGGATTCACCTAATGACTTTGCAGGGTTTTTATTCACCATTCAATACGAAAATAAAACAGCCACAATAGAAACTATCGTCTTTAGGCCGCGAGCCGAGGCCATTTATCTTTCAGTTTCGTAGCGCACATAAGGTAACTACCTGAAAATGATTTTAAAATGTTCCTTAGAAATTTAGTAACAAATATTGCCTTGTTCCCACTTACAAAAGTTGCACGTTTTACAGAAAATACACTTTTACTACAATAAATATGTGTTACCATCTGTCCTACTTTCTCTGCTTTTTCGGTATCA